ATCAAGGAGCCGCCGCAGAAATGGGATCCTGTGCGGCTCTGGGGGAGAAAGAGGGAGGAAGAGCTGGGGCAAGGCAGGCTGAGCATCCCCCCCAAAGCCAGGGACAGGCAGAGGGTGTCACAGAACCACTCCCAGCTGGCCGTGTCCCCACGGGGCGCAGGGCACAGTTCCCTACCTGCAGGGACACCTGCCAGGGCCAGGAGCCGGGCACAGCGTTCTGCCCATTGACAATCCTCTCGCTCTGCTCCAGGAAGGGGCTGACAGCGGGCACCCCGCAGCCTGCGGGGGGGCGTGAGGGTCACCCCCAAAGCTCGGGGCTCCTTGTCACCCTCCCTGCCGTGCCCCAGTCCTGCTGCACCCCCAGGACTTGCCTGCACCCCCGGGCAGCTCTTACCTGAAACAGTGCTGGCCAGAGCCAGGCAGGCAAGGATCCACAGGGACGCCATCCTGGGACGATGTGGCTCTGTCTCCAGGGCCACCAGCTTTATGGCAGCTGGGAGCTGTGTGGCTCGGAGCCAGGCAGGGGCCAAGGTCCCCCCTGCTGCCTCCTGCCAGCTGCTGGCAGTGGGGAAGAGCCACCTGGCACCACAGGTGAGTGGGGACATGGAAATGTGCTGCCAGGTCTTGAGGACAAGTCGTGGAGGGGGGAGCTGAGGGAGCTGGGGGTGTCCAGCCTGGAGACAAGGAGGTGAGGGGAGACCTGCTGGCTCTGCAGCTGCCTGGGAGGAGGTTGCAAGAGAGGGAAGTACTGGTCTCCCCTCCCAGGTAAGAAGCCATAGGATGAGAAGAAACGGCCTCAAGTTGTGCCAGGGGAGGTTTAGGTTGGATATTAGAAGTTTCTTCACAGGAAGGTTTGTTGGCTGCCCAGGGTGGAGTCCCCATCCCTGGAGGTGCTGAAAAGCCCTGTAGATGTGGTGCTGGGGGACATGGGGCAGCACCGGACTGGGTAGGGTTGGGTTAATGGTTGGAGTCAATGATCTTAAAGGTCTTCTCCAACCCAAACTGTTCTGTGATTCCAGAAGGCAGCCTGGGGTGCAATGATTTGGGTCAGTTCTCACTGCAGCCTGTGGAGCTGAATGGGAAGAGACCCAGGGCTGTGCTGGGAGCATGGGGGCTGCTGGTGGGCAGGTCACTGGGTACTGCTGGCATGGGTGCTGGTGCCTGGGCCATGGGAGGTCACCCTGTCCCCAGGCCTGTTTCAGATCTGTTGGCACCAGGGCTGTGACCTTGAAGCCCTGGGCTGGGACCACACTGGTCCCAGCTGGACATTCTCAGGGACCAGGGACACCCCTTGGATCGTGGCCCTGGGCAGGTCAGCATGTCCCAGGACCAGCTGGATGGGACAGGCACCTTCCCAGGCAGGCAAGAGCCGTGGCCAGCGTGGGTGAGCACACCACGAGCCCCAGGAGGACAGTGGCCACCTCCCTGAGCCAAGGGTGACCCCCCCACTGCAGCTGCCTGACCCCCCACCCTGGGGCTGTGTGCTGGGGAACAACAGGGTTCCCCCAAACCTCCCGTCACCATCCTAGACACACAGGGATGAGCCACAGTGTCACCATCAGCCTCTGGGTGACCGTCCCGGGTTGGCAGCAGGGCAGGGAACCATCCCGGGGGTGATGCTGAGTGTGGGGCTGGATCCCACTGTGCCTCCCACGTCCCCTCCTCCCTGACCTGCTGGAGAGCAGAGCCTGGACACTGGTGAGGGGCTGCAGAGCTCAGGCCTTTATTTCTGGTGGTAGAGCCACAGAAGGACAGCAGGACCAGGCCTGCCACAAGCAGGGTGGAGTGTGGAGGTCCCCAGGGTGCTGCAGGGGCTGGGCACAAGGCTGCAGGGTTTGCTCCCGATCTTCACCTGGGGAGGTGACCAAGGGCTGGACAGCAGCAGAGGGTAGAAAGGCAGTGCCCAGGGCAGTGCTGGAGGGAACTGGTCCCAGAGGGTGCTCAACACACCAGGCATGACCCAGTTCATGTTCTCCAAGAGGTGGAGGATCAAGGACTTCAGCACTGGGCAGATCAGGAACTCAGAGCTGTCCCGTCAGGCTGGTAGAGACAGGGTTGATGGCACCAGCCAGGGTGGTGAGAGCCCTTGTGCCCTTCTGCGTGGCAGCCAGGCATGCTGAGCTGGGCTGCTCCCCACCATCCCTGCAGGTGGATGCATCCCTCCACCTGCCCAGGATGGTGGAGCAGCAACACCAGCCCTCTGGGCTGAGGAAAACCTCACCTCAAAGCCTCCTGCAAGCCTGGGTCTGGCAGAGCTCCAGGGTGGGAACAGGCTCCATGGCCAGGACACCCTGGCTCAGAGGGCTGTGGGGATGCACCAAACACCTGCCTGAGGAGGAGGGGCTGAGAGACCTGGGGCTGTTCAGTCTGCAGAGGAGAAGACTGAGGGGGGATCTAATGAATGTCTCTCAATACATGAGGGCAGCAAGAAGGCAGGACAAGCTCTTGTCACTTGTGCCCTGGGACAGGACAAGGGGCAGTGGATTCAAACTGGAGCCCAGGAAGTTCCACCTGAACATGAGGAAGAACTTCTTTGCTGTGAGGGTGACAGAGCCCTGGGACAGGCTGCCCAGAGAGGTGGTGGAGTCTCCTTCTCTGGAGCCTTTCCAGCCCTGCCTGGATGCCTTTCTGAGTGACCTGCCCTGGTTTTGGTCCTCTCTGGCCGGGGGGTTGGACTTGATGATCTCTGGAGGTCCCTTCCAACCCCTGACATGCTGTGATTCTGTGACTCTGTGATACTCAGGGAACCCCAAACATCTCTCCAGCCCCACGGAGACCTGGGCTCACCCCCACTGTGCAGACTCCTGCTCTTTTCTGGTGGCCCCTCGTTCTCCTGCAGGCCAGACCTGAGCAGCCCTCCCTGCCCCAGCCAACCACTTATCTCCTCAGCAGGTCTCCTGGGGCTGGTGCTGGCAGGGACATCCAGCTCAGCGAGATCCCCAGACTGTCCCCAGCACGGGGGGAAGGTGCTGTGCAGGGGGGGATGCCACGTGTCACCTCCACCCCACGTGTCACCTCCACCCACATAGATGTCCTGAGTGGTCTGCAGGTCTGTGGGGGCCAGGCAGGTCCGTGTGGTGCAGGGAGGTCCGTGGGGTGCAGGCAGGTCCATGGGGGGGCAGGAAGGTCCGTGGGGCAGTGTCAGGCACACTTGCCCTTGCCCAGGCAGAAGCGCAGCTCCGGTGCAGGGACCAAGATGGTGCTGAAGATGGGCCTGTAGTCCTGGGGCAGGACCTGGGGGTGCTGCAGCATCATCTCCAGCACCACGTGCCTCACCTCCCTGGAGACGTCCCCCCGCAGATCCAGCAGGGTGGAGATGTGCTCATCACTGGGCAGGGAGAGGTGGGGCTGGGGGCTGCTAGGCCGGGGGCCACCAACCTCCTGTGGGCCTGGGGGGCTGGCTGAGGGCTGAGGGGCTGAGCTGGAGGTTGGGGGACTGAGCTGAAGGTTGGGGGGCTGAGCTGAGGGTTGGGAGGCTGAGCTGAAGGTTGGGGGGCTGAGCTGAGGGTTGGGAGGCTGAGCTGAAGGTTGGGGGGCTGAGCTGAGGGTTGGGAGGCTGAGCTGAAGGTTGGGGGGCTGAGCTGAGGGTTGGGAGGCTGAGCTGAAGGTTGGGGGGATGAGCTGGAGGTTGGGGGGCTGGGAGTTGGGGGGCTGAGGGTTGGAGGGCTGAGCTGGAGGTTGCGGGGCTGAGGGCTGGGGGGCTGAGCTGAGGGCTGGGTTTGTGGTTTCCCAGGGTCTGGCCACTAAAGCCAGGTAAGTGACCACCCCACAAAACTGCTTTCTCCATTCCATCTTTGCCCTTGGGACTTTGCAGGAGCCCCTCAAATCTGGGGCAGGAGGGAAAGGAAACCTCAGGGAGGAGAGGGGACCAGCCCAGGTCTCTGCTCTGGAGCTGTAATTACCCTGGGCTCCCCTGGGCAGCCTCGTTTAGCTGGCATTGGGTTGATGGTTGGACTTGAGCATCTTAGAGATCTTTTCCAACTTGAATGTTTCCAAGCCTCCCCCACTTTGCAGGAAAGCTGAGCTGGGCTTTTTCTGGAGGGATTTCAAAGCCCTGGAGATGTGGTGCTGAGGGACGTGGGTTAGTTGTGGCCTTGGCAGGGCTGGGGGAATGGTTGGACTTGATCTTCAAGGTGTTTCCCAACCCAAACAGTTCTGTGATTCTCACCTGACGTCAGGGTACTTGGTGATGAAGCCCAGCACCTCCAGGCTGAGCAGTGCAGGGTCCCTGAGGCAGATCAGCTCTCGCAGGGCAAAAATGGCCTCCAGGCTCTGCTGGCTCCTGTCCAGACCCTGGGAGGGAGAGCAGCCACGTGCAAGGCTGGGAGGAGGCCACCACGGTGGCTGGTGACCTGCAGCCTGCTCCTCAGTGCCCTCGTGGGACCTGGTGTCTCCCCACTTGGTGTGTCCCACTGATCAGGGTCAGCCTGGCCTGAGGTGAGCTGAGGCTGTGCAACCTCACACACCTGTGCTGGGTGGGGTGGAAGGTCCCCCAGGTCCCAAATGCAACCCTGCATGGTTTGGGTTGATAGGAACCTTGAAGATCATCCAGCCCCACCCCCCTGATGCACGAGCAGGGACACCTCCCACCAGCCCAGGTTGCTCCAAGCCCCATCCAACCTGCCCTTCAACACTGCCAGGGATGGGGCAGCCACAGCTCCCCTGGGCAACCTGGGCCAGGCTCTCACCAGCCTCAAACTCAAGAGTTTCCTCCTCGTGTCTCACCTCTATCTACCTCTTCCACTTTTAATCCATTGCCCCTTATCCTCTCCCTCCCTGCCTTTGTCCCAGGTCCCTCCCCAGCTTTCCTGGAGCCCCTTCAGGCACTGGAAGCTGCTCTAAGGTCTCCCTGGAGCCTTCACTTCTCCAGGCTGAACACCCCAACTCTCCCAGCCTGGCTCCAGAGCTGTTCCCATCATCTCCATGGCCTCCTCTGGACTCTCATCTTGACCTTCAATATGTAACAGCCTCATCTCATTGGTGGGCTGATGAACCCCCCCTCCACCCCCAAAGCTGTGGGCTAGAAGGGAGCAGGGAGGTGCTGGAGGTGAATGAGGAGCTCCTGGCTGTGTGGTCCTGCCCCCCCGTGTCCCCAGGCACCCATGGGCAGGGCTCACCAGGCCACAGAAGAGTTCCCGCAGCTGCGTGGCGTCCTGCAGCAGGCGCTGGCACAGCTGCCCCCGCTCCTCCGCGCTCCTGCACACCAGCCTCTTCTGCATGAGGGCCCGGAGGTACTGGCTGGTCACCAGGAGCTCGGTCTCCATCAGCAGGACCTGGGCAGGAGGGAGCTGTTAGTGCTGGGTGTTGCATAGAATCATGGGATCCCAGACTGGTTTGGGTTGGAAGGGACCTTAAAGATCATCCAGTCCCAACCCCCTGCATGGGCACGGACACCTCCCACCAGCCCAGGTTGCTCCAAGCCCCATCCAACCTGCTCTTCAACACTGCCAGGGATGGGGCAGCCACAGCTTCCCTGGGCAACCTGGGCCAGGCTCTCACCACCCTCACACTCCACAATTCCCTCCTCATGTCTCACCTCAATCTCCCCTCTTCCAGTTGTCATCCATTCCCCCTTGTCCTCTCATTCCCTGCCCTTGTCCCAAGTCCCTCCCCAGCTTTCCTGGAGCCCCTTCAGGCACTGGAAGCTGCTCTAAGGTCTCCCTGGAGCCTTCTCTTCTCCAGGCTGAACACCCCAACTCTCCCAGCCTGGCTCCAGAGCAGAGCTGCTCCAGCTCAAGGATCATCTCTGTGGCCTCCTCTGGAGTCTCTCTAGGAGCTCCATGACCTTCTTACGTTGGGGGCTCCAGAACTGGACACAGTTCCAGGTGGGGTCTCATGAGAGCAGAGGGCGGAATCCCTCCCCAGCCCCACACTTCTTTTGATCCAGCCCAGGACATGGGTGGTTCCTGAGCTGCCACTGCACAACTGCCTGGGGTGGGAAAGGGGCTGGATACACCACCAAGCCATGGGGACAACCTTCTGCAAAGTGCCCGGGCTGGAGGGACAGAGAAAGTAGCTGAATTTGGGGGAAACCCTGAACATCTGTGCCTGATGGTGCCCTCAGGCTGCTCCAAAAGTTGCAGCCTCTCCAGCAAACCCAGCAGTGACCAAGCTCCCTGCATCCTGCACCCCAGCAGGGCACCCAACCCACCCAACCTCCATGCCCGGCAGACAAGGAGCCACCCAAAGGTCCTCCTGCCCCAAACATACAGTGAAGACGGGTTTCCTGAGGTGGGAGAAGTCCTTGGTGTACTTGTCAATCACCTCACACATGTTGCTGACCAGCTGGGACCCCGAGAGCCACTTGCGGGAAGGCAGCTGCAGGCAGAGGGGCTGGAAGGACCAAGAGGAGCAGCACTGGGTGCCCTGCCACCTGCTGCAGGTGACACAACACCCCCCAGGCCCTGCTTTGTCCCCTTTGCCTTGTCAAGCCCCCACTGCCAGCCCAGGGTCACCATGAAAAAGAGAAGAGTGGTCTGCAGGTCCTCATGGCCCTCAGCTAAGGTCAATGACCTCCTGGGGGGGAACAAGAACAGTGTGGCCAGCAGGTCAGGGAGGTTGTGCCCCTCTGCTCTGCCTGGTGAGGCCTCCTCTGAAGCCCTGTGTGCAGGTCTGGGCTCCCCAGTTCATGAAGGACAAGGAGCTCCTGGAGAGAGTTCAGCCCAGGGCACTGAGATGCTGAGGGAACTGGAGCATCTGCCTGTGAGGAAAGGCTGGGAGAGCTGGGGCTGTTCAGCTGGAGAGGAGGAGGCTGAGGGGGGGTCTGATCAGTGCTGATCAGTATCTGCAGGGGGTGTCAGGAGGATGGGCCAGACTCTTCTCAGGGGTGTCCAGTGACAGGACAAGGGGCAATGGGCACAAACTGGAGCACAGGAGGTTGAACCTGAATATGAGAAAATACTTCTTTCCTGTGAGGGTGAAAGAGCCCTGGGACAGGCTGCCCAGGGAGGTGCTGGAGTCTCCATCCCTGGAGACATCCCAGACCTGCCTGGATGTGTTCCTGGGGGATCTACTGTAGATGATCCTGCTCTAGCAGGGTTTGGACTAGATGTTCTCCAGAGGTCCCTTCCCACCCCCACCACCCTGTGTTTCTGTAGGGAATGCTGGGAGCTGCTCTGGTTAAACCAGGGCTGCCCTTCTGCAGGGGATGGGGTGAGTTCATTGGTAAATGCATCTTGAAACCAGTGTGACTGTTTCCATGATATCTTAAAGGTCCTTTTCCAACCAAAATGACCCTATAGATTGGACATTAGGGAACATTTACTTCCCCCAAAGGGCTGTCAGGCCCTGGCCCAGGCTGCCCACGGCCGGGGGGGGGGCCCCATCCCTGGAGGGGTTTCAAAGCCCTGGAGATGGTGCTGAGGGACATGAGGCAGTGGTGGCCTTGGCAGGGCTGGGGGAAGGGTGGGACTTGGGGGATCTTAGGGGGTCTTTTCCAACCAAGATGGTTCTGTGACTCTATGAAACACATCTGGGGCCCCTCCTCCCTGGCACCCAGAGAGCCCCACTCTGGGGTTTCTCTAGGCCATGATGCCCCATGGTGGGCAGCCCCAGACCCGTGCTCTTCACACACCCGTCCTGCTGTGGCTTCAGTTTTCATTCCCACTCCTCTCCCCTCCTCCAGACACCACCCATGCTTTGACCTCCTCCTGCCCTGCTGCCCCTGCCTGTCTCCTGCAGCCACTCCCAGCCTGCCAGGGCTTTGGACCTTCAGCTGCTCTTTTGTTTTCCTGGCGCCCCATCCCCAAATAGCAACGACAATTCATGATTCCTGAGTTTCCCTCCAGATTCCAGGAAAGCTAAATTTGACTCTTCTGGCAGGAAACCCTGGGGCACTCACACGTGGGCTTGTATCCTCCCCATGGCCCTGGCCTCTCTCCTCTTGGATTGTAGCCATAAAAAGGAGCAGGAGGTGGCCCGGGGGGTGGGCTGTGGCTCCTGGGCTCTGTTGGCTTGTGATTTGGAGGCCACAGGCCACCTGCCCCAGTGATAGTGGTGGTGTTGGCTGGTGACAGGGCACAGTCTGATCTCCAGGGGGTTATCACAGCCTGGAGGCCAGGCTGGCAGAGATGTCTGCAGGGTGATAGCGGAGCCATGGGTGCCTGGTGGGGACCCTGGGCAGGAACACACCCGTGCCCAGGGCGGGCAGCAGGAGGGCTCTTCTTGCTGGAGTTTGTTGGAGCTCTGGAGAAACCTACCTGCAGGTCCAGGAGCAGTTCCTCCAGCAGCAGCTGGCAGGCCTTCTTCTCAGTCCTGTCTAGGGCAGCCTGGAGGGATGCAGGGACTTCTCTGTGGGCAGAGTCGGGGTGCAGGGAGGAGACAGAGGAGCTGGGAGAGAGAAGAGAGGACAGGCAGTCTGGGAAGGTGTGAGATGAGGAGGAAATTCTTCACCATGAAGGTGGTGAGAGCCTGGCCCAGGTTGCCCAGGGAAGCTGTGGCTGCCCCATCCCTGGCAGTGTTGAAGGGCAGGTTGGATGGGGCTTGGAGCAACCTGGGCTGGTGGGAGGTGTCCGTGCCCATGCAGGGGGGTGGGACTGGATGAGCTTTAAGGTCCCTTACAACCCAATCCATTCCATGACTCTCTAAGTGTGACACCAGTCCCCAGGGGATGGGGAGGACGTGGCTCCATCGTGGGCTGTGGAGTTTCCACAAGAGCTCTGAGGTGCTGGTGTGTGTTACCTGAGGGCCAGGGTGTTGTTGAGCATGGCCAGCAGGTAGGAGGTGTAGTGCTTGGGCAGCGCCCGGTCCTTCTGGCGCTCCTTCCCGCAGCGCCCCAGCGCGTCCCGCAGCCTGCAAGGCAGAGAGGCACCCTGAGGGACATCCCAGCACAGGGAACTGGAGCTCCATGGACCTCTGAAAGCCCCCCCAGTTCTCTTGGCTCTTTCTTTTGGCCAGCAGTGGAGAGTTGTTGGGAAGGGTGGGACAGTGGGGCTCATTCTGGAGCCCTCAGAAAGGCAGAGCTCAGTGCCTGAGGGCAGCAAGCCCTGGGAGCTGAGACAGTAGCCCCATAGCTAGAGGAGCTGCTGACCCTTCTGTGAGCTGGATGAGCACTGGGTGACCCATGGCAGGTCTCCACCATCAGCCTGTGGGGCTTGACCATGGGACCCAGGGCCTGGGAGGATGGGCAGGGGTGCGAGGGGCTCCACTGACCGGCCCAGAAATGCCTCCAGCTCCTCCATGGCCATGTTGTAGACCTTCTGCTGCAGAGACTCAGTGATCAAGGAGGCCACCTGGATGTTCTCATTCAGCATCTGCAGAGGGAGAGTGGAGGTGAATTGTGGGGGTACTGCAGGCCATGGCCCCCTTTTGGGGACTCTCAGCATGGCTGTGCCCCAGCAGCACCTGTGGTGCTGGGGACCCACCTGCATGACAATGACAGGCAGGGCTGACTGGAAGAAACCCTGATGGTCTGTCTCAGGTTCCTCTTCCCTGAACCACTCCTTGAACTCCACCTCCAAGGTCCTCTGCATCCACTCAAGCACACTAGCCTGTGGATGGACATCCACCAAGAAGTCAGGTACCAACTCCCTTGAGACCCAGCATGTAACGCAGCAGTGAGTCCTGGGCCTTGTTCCACAGCCTTATGGTCTTCTGCTGCTGTCACAGCAGGTGCTGGCTCAGTGGTGGTCACTGGGTCCCCATTGCACGTGCACTGTCCCACCCACTCACCTTGACTTTCACCACGTATTTCCTCTCTGTCTGATCCACAAGCTCAGGGGACATCAAGGGACCCAGAGAAGAAACATCGACTTCTGGGAGAAGGTCAGGGTGACCCATCATCTCTGAGCTGAAGGGCAGAGGTGGGACAGAGCTGGGAAGACCTGTGTTTGCCAGCAGTTCCTACCTCTTCCTTTGTCCTCTCAGTGGTCATCCCCAGGCAGCCACAGCCACTCTCCCAACCCACCCATGTGCTGGTGGACAACATGACTCTTCTCCACAACCTCCCCTGCTTGGTTGGTGCTGGGGGTGGTGCTGACCTGTGATAGACATGAAGAGCCCACTCAAGGAGGAGGAAGAGCCCCTGTTTGTCCAGGTTCTCTCGAAGGATGTCCTGGAGGTGGCTGCTGAGGGTCTGGTGGTAGGTAGCAGTGCAGACGTTGAGGATGTCATAGTGAGCTGGGACACACTGGACCATCAGATCCTTCACCACACGCAGCTGGGACACGATGTCCTTCTGCAGCGCTGCCAGGTGCCTGGCCAGCCCTGGCCCCTCAGCGTCCACGTGAGGGGCATGGAACAGGGATCCTGTGATGGTCTCCTGAAGGACGTGGTAAAACTTCTGCCTCCAGGCCTTGGGGCGGCTGGGGGGCAGGAAGGAGGCCTCCAGGAGCAGAGCATTGTCTATTTTCTCCTCCCGCTCGATGATCCTGACAGCGGTGACAAAGAGAACTGGGTCCTCACGCACCAGCCTCAAGCTGCTGCCCACGATGTCCCACAGCTGCTTGGCCAGGCTCTTGTTGAGCTCCTGCAGGCCACTGAAGTAGGAGAGCACTGTTGCCTGGGCACTGGAGAGCCCACGGAGGTGCAGCTGGGAGAGGATGTCATCCCGGAGGTGCTCCAGCATCATGAGCTCTGCGTGGGCCTCCAGGAGCTGCTGCCCACGGAGCAGCTGCAGGGTATGGGAACAAACCTCCTGGACTGTGGGAGAGGGAGGAGAGATGCCACAGTTGGGTGTGGGGCGTGAAGGAGGTTGGCACTGAGGTCATGGGCACAGGTTAGCAGGGAGATGGTGAGGAGAAGGGTCTGAGATCTGGGGCTCTGGGAGCACCGTGCCAGACCAAGCCCTGGGGAGGTGGTGGCACCTCCATCCCTGGAGACTTTCCAAACCCAACCGGCAAAGCCGGAGCGACCCGCTCGAGCTTTGCCCCCAGCCCTGCCTGGAGCCTGAGGGGTTGGGACCGGAGAGCTCCCCAAAGTGCCTTCCAGTCCAAACCCAGGCCTTACCCGAGAAGAGCTGGGGCAGCAGCTGGACCACCGAGGCCAGCTGCAGGTGCTGGGCTCCCAGTGCCCGCAGCGGCCGCAGGTGCTGCCCGTGCTCAGCGCAGTCCAGCAGGGCCCAGCGCGCGGCCCCCAGCTCCCGGCACACACTCCGCGCCTCCCGCGCCGCCCCGCGCAGCTGCTCCAGACCCAGGCTCACCCCCTCCAGGTAGGACTGCACGGTGGACTGGGGAGCAGAAGAAAAGAGGGAGGGCAGTGGAGAAGCTCCCCGAGGCTGGAGGAGCCGCGCGCTGCTCAGCCCAGCCTTGCCCTCCCTCCCAGCAGGTGTTTTGTTTAGACTCGGGTGGGGAAGAAGAGGAACCGTTTCCCACGCAGCCCCACAAGGGCACATCTGCCTCTCCCATCGTGCCATGCCACCTCCCAGACCTTCCATGATGACCCCATCCCACCAGACCCGAGCACACCCAGCTTCAGGAAACCTGAATGGTTCATTTCACACCCACTTCCCCCCCTCCTCTGGGTAAACTGAGTCACGGTGACTATTTATGGGGTGGGTGGTGATGGCTGCTGTGCAGGAGGTGGAAGAAGGGCATCATTTTGGGGTGACCAAGGCAGCAGGGTGAGCAGTAACCAGATGTCACCTTTCAGTTTTAAAAGACTACTTTGCTCCTGCAAAATATTTGCAGGCCAGAGGGCCCCTGTGTGGCTTCCACACCTCCATGCTCTGCCCGTTTACCTCCTGGCTCCTGGTACCAAGAAGGGCTTTCACCCAGCATCACCAGAAGCCAGTCATTTTCTCTGAGGCCACAGCACTTCAAAAAAGTTGACTCCTGGACAATTCAGCCCCATTCGAGGCAGGAGAAACCATCTCCAAAGCAATCAGGAGAAGGTTGTGGTGCTCAGACTGATGGGATCCTGAGGTTTAATGTTCCTTGGATTATGCAAAAAGGGTTACCCTGAGCAGGGAATTTTTTCTCCTATGAGGAGGGGAAGACTGGAGTTCTTTGTCCCCTCCCAGCCAGGAGGAAGCCTTTGGTGTGGGGACAGGATGGTGATGGGGTCACAGCAGACTCATTTGAACACCTCAGCCAGTGCCCAGGGGAAGCCAGGAGATGCTGAGGGACTTTACCACCTCTTTTCTCCCAAACACTTGCATTTCTCCCACAAGGTGCCAGCCAAAGGACAAGAACTTGCCAGCAGGAGGACAAAAAAAAAGATGCCATGAGGCAGAAGAGGGGTCCCCGGCTGGGATGGCTGCCTGGGGGAGGCTGAGGGTGCCCAGGGGCTGTGGGAAACACCCACCTTCAGGCGGGACTGGATGGAGCTGTTCCTCTGTGTCTCTCTGCTCCGGTACTGCCCCAGCCCCTCCAGGTTCTCCGGGCGGTAAAACACCCCTGAAGCCCATTTCAGAGCAGCTCCTCTGGCCAGTTTCTCAGCCTTCTCCGCTTCCGGCCATTCCTGGTCTGGGGACGAAGCCAAGGGGTTAAGGAGCACAAGGGAGCCTCTCCTGGCAGGGCAGGAAGGGCCCCTGGGCCTGCGGCAGGAAGCTGTGGATGGATGGATGGACGGATGTCCAAGCACACCCAGACGTGGGAAGCAGGACAGCAAGGGGGTCCTTCCATGAGAGGCCCCCACCCCCCAAGGTGCTGCTGCCACAGCCAGGGGTTGTCACAGGGGCAGTGGCAGCCCTGAGGAGCTGCCACCCAGCCTGGCAGCGGGGACTGTCCCCTGGGCTGAGCCCGTGTCCCCATCGCTGCCTCCAAACCCAGCATGGGGTGGTCTGGGGGGGGGTTGGTCTGATGGCACCTGGGCAGCCCCGGGCAGGGCTGGGGCTTCAGCAGTGAGTCAGCAGCAGGGACAGCAGCTCTGGCAGGGCAGCAGAGGTGGGGATGGGAGGCTCCTGGTCTCCCAAAAGCAGCTGTGGGGGGGTTCTGGCGTCCCCCTCGGCACAGGGGCTGGAGCAGAGGGCTGAGCACCAGCACACTCATGGCACTCCAGACCCCATCCCCAGCTGTCACAGCCCCTCTCCCCAGCTCCTGGTTTCATCCTTGCCCCTTGGCTCCATCCCCAGCCTGGGGGTCCCCACGGGGATGTCACCCAGTGCCACCCTCTGTCCCAGCTCTGCGGGGGGACCCGCCTGCAGCGGCGGGCGGCTCGGAGGACCAGCAGTTACCCCCACCACAAAGCACAGCCAGGCTTCCACCCCCCGGGAGCACAAAGCACAGGGGAAAAGGGCTGAGGGGAGCCCCCCAGCCCCCTGTCCCCGTTACCTCTGGGGCTGGCGGTGCGCTCGTCCTCCGCAGACGTGCCCATGGTCTGGGAGCCAGGGAAGGGCCGGCAGGAGGAAACACGAGCCCGTTTCCTTCAGCCCCAGCAGCTCCTCAGGGCCTCATTGTCCTCCTGTCAGAACGGAGGTGGGGACACAGACACACACACAGACACACACACACAGAGACACGCACGGACACAAACGCAGAGACACACAGACACACACACAAAGGCACACACAGAGACACACACAGACTGAGACTGACACACACAGAGACACACACAGACTGAAACAGACACACACACTGACACAGACTGAAACAGATACACACAGAGAGACACACAGTTACACACAGAGACACAGAGAGAGACAGACACACACAGAGTTACACACACAGAGACACAGAGAGGCAGGCACTAACAGACACACACACACAGTTACACACAGAGAGACAGACACAGAAACACACACAGGCACACACACAGTTAAACACAGAGACACGCAGATACACACACAGAGTTACACACACACACAGAGACACGCAGATACACACACACACACAGAGTTACACACAGTTATACACACAGAGACACGCAGATACACACACAGTTAGTTACACACACACAGACACACGCAGAGACACACACAGAGTTCCACACAGAGACAGACACACACTCACCCCAGAGAAGGTGAAATGGCTGCCATGGTCCTTGGGAACAAGCATCACTGGTTGGTTTTATTACCATTTTCAAATCGCTCCCAAAGCACAGACAAAGTGACGACGGTTGGGAAGGAGCCCTTGCTCTTCATGGCAGGTTTGCTCCCAGCTGGGTGCCTGGTGCCTCCCCACAACCACACACACAGGTGAGATTTACCACCAGATGTTTGTACACAAAACCACCCAGCAGCAGCTTCCCAGTCCATCCTCCTCGCGGGGAGTGGTCAGTGATTCACACCCAGTTCTAAGGTGGTCACAGCTCTGTCTGTGCCGTGTGTGCTCAGGGGAGGGGCCTTCACCCGGGCAGGGGCCTTTTTGACCTGGTGATGTCAATATTATAGTGACATGATAACGAGCTACGTTCACCTAAAGAACACAGCAGCACAAGCCCTACAGCTCCAGCTGCCCCAGGCTGGTTCAGCCCCCAGCCTTCCAGCTTTGGGCTCTTTTCTCTCACCTCCTGCATCCCTCAGGCCCAGGTACCCGCACAGACCTCGTCTCTTCTGCCAAGGGGGTGATTCAGATCAGAAACCCTCAAAACCTTGATGATTTGCTTCCTCCAAGGCCTGATTATTGTAGGGTGTCCTTTGCTGGGCACTGACTGTGCCTCTCTGCACTTGTACCTGTCTGATACCTCATGTATCTCAAACAATGTATTTAAACCACTCTTGGTGTCCTTAGAATGTGCAGAGACCTCACTTATCCCAAAAAACCTATATATTTAAACCACTCCAGGTATCAGATACCTCATGTATCTCAAACAAACTATACATATAAACCCCTCCTGGTGTCTGATATCTCACTTATCTCAAACAAATGATGTATTTAAACCCCTCCTGGTGTCCTTAGAACGTGCAGATACCTCACTTATCCCAAACAAACTATAGATTTAAACCCCTCCAGGTGCCAGATACCTCACTTATCCCAAAGAAACTATATATATAAACCCCTCCTGGTGTCAGAGATCTCACTTTTCCCAAACAAACTCTGTATTTAAACCCCTCCTGGTGTCCTTAGAATGTGCAGAGACCTCGCTTATCCCAAACTATATGTTTAAACCCCTCCAGGTGTGAAATACCTCACTTATCCCAAAGGAACTATATATTTAAACCACTCCTGGTGTCAGATACTTCACTTATCCCCAAAAAACCTATATATTTAAACCACTCCAGGTATCAGATACCTCACGTATCTCAAACGAACTCTGTATTTAAACCACTCTTGGTGTCCTTAGAATGTGCAGAGACCTCGCTTATCCCAAACTATATGTTTAAACCCCTCCAGGTGTGAAATACCTCACTTATCCCAAAGGAACTATATATTTAAACCACTCCTGGTGTCAGATACTTCACTTATCCCCAAAAAACCTATATATTTAAACCACTCCAGGTATCAGATACCTCACGTATCTCAAACGAACTCTGTATTTAAACCACTCTTGGTGTCCTTAGAATGTGCAGAGACCTCACTTATCCCAAAAAACCTATATATTTAAACCACTCCAGGTATCAGATACCTCATGTATCTCAAACAAACTATACATATAAACCCCTCCTGGTGTCTGATATCTCACTTATCTCAAACAAATGATGTATTTAAACCCCTTCTGGTGTCCTTAGAACGTGCAGATACCTCACTTATCCCAAACAAACTATAGATTTAAACCCCTCCAGGTGCCAGATACCTCACTTATCCCAAAGAAACTATATATATAAACCCCTCCTGGTGTCAGAGATCTCACTTTTCCCAAACAAACTCTGTATTTAAACCCCTCCTGGTGTCCTTAGAATGTGCAGAGACCTCGCTTATCCCAAACTATATGTTTAAACCCCTCCAGGTGTGAAATACCTCACTTATCCCAAAGGAACTATATATTTAAACCACTCCTGGTGTCAGATACTTCACTTATCCCCAAAAAACCTATATATTTAAACCACTCCAGGTATCAGATACCTCACGTATCTCAAACGAACTCTGTATTTAAACCACTCTTGGTGTCCTTAGAATGTGCAGAGACCTCACTTATCTCAAACTATATGTTTAAACCCCTCCAGGTGCCAGATACCTCACTTATCCCAAACAAACTATAGATTTAAACCCCTCCTGGTGTCTGACACCTCACGCACCTCAAACCAACTACGTATTTCCAACAGTAGGATAGACAGACACATACATAAACCAAACCCCACACTGCGCTTCCAACACCAGAAGGCGAAACCACCGCTACACTTCGCCTCTTAACACCAAAGAACCGCGTTATTGGGCCTTCCCGAGGCGTTTCCCAGCGGGGCAGGCCCGAGGCGGGGCCTGGCGGGGCCGGGCCCGTCCCCCCCCCCCCTCCCGGTCCC